TATATATATATATATATATGTACGGATGGAAAGGTTGCCGTCCCTTAGTTCTATGCCTTTTAAGGCTGATTATGTGACCCAAAAAGCCATTGCTATAATACAGAAAAATCACAAACAGTGTAGCCTTTTCCCTTTGTGGGGCAGTCTACAGATCAGGGTTTATACCAGGGGTGCTCAAACAGTTTTTTCCCTATGGAGGGCAAAAAATAAAAAGGTAAAGCAAACGTATTGTATTGTTAACATTCAAAATGGTTCTAGGATCCCTGACTTCTTGCGCAAAATGTTACTCTGTCTGCTGTGCTCAGATTATGTAAAATTATTAATAATTTATCATTTTTACCTCACAAAAAATAAAACAGCGTAAACTATGATTTATATTACTTTTTTTTTTCCTTTGTCAGAAATATATGGTGGGCCAAATCAAACCTCATCTAGCCTGCAGGCCCCACTTTGGCCAGCCCTGGTCTATATTAAGGCAAACACTTGACATAATTTGATAAACAGATGCTCCATTGTTTTATAACACCAGATATTACAAATTCTAAATCTAAACTTGGTGCAAATACTGCTCTTTTGGGCCACTGCATTTCACCTGCAGGCTGGAGGGAACTGGGTTGGTGCTACTCACTACACGGTTGTGAGTGGATTTCAAGGGAGGTGTGTGCGTGTGTGTGTGGTGATAGACTGGGTCAGGTTTTGTAGTTTCAAAGGGGCATGCTACTGCAAAATGGAGTCTGTAGGTGGGTGGGTTGGGTTGGGAGGGGTGGTCTAGGTGCTTCTGTTTCACTGACGACCCACCCTTTTGAGCTGTTCCTGCAACTGTTCTCGCAGGGACTCGGGACAGTTATGAAGCTGGTTCTTCAGCTCAGCGTAGCCCTCCTGGAGGCTCTGCAGGGCCCGGCGCTCGGCCTCAACATTAGCCCTCTCCTAGAAAGACACAACACACACCCACACACAAAATGGATGGACGAGGGGAGAGAGAGAGAGAGAAAGAGAGAAACACACTGCTCAAAATCCACGCCATGCAAATAAAAAAAGCTGTAAGGTGTTAGCAACAGACACATCCCGACAGATTTTTAGGGCTTGGCAGGGCATAGGAAGTAGGTGCTGAATTGTCAGGATGTTACAGCTGGCAGTCTGGGATTCACAGATGGAACATGGTCCTAAAATAGCCAGAAAAGATCATTCCGACTCTCAAAATTTTCTAATAAACTTTTAGATTAACAGATACTTGCATTTGAGTCCCTACTAAGGATGTGCTAAAATCATTCTTCTGACGACTATTGGCTGTAAATATTGTGAAGGAACCATTATATCTTCCAACAAATATATCTTTAATAAGCTGTGAGAAAATTGCTCCATTATTTACTTGGCTTTTATTTGCCCCAGAACATGTATAAACTCACTTGTGATAACCCTGAGCACTGTTAATCTGACAGCAGTGACACTGTCTCAGTTGCTCTCCAGTTAAAGAACAGAAACTTCTTGTCTCTTAGGTGCTGCCCCAGTTTCAAGCTCAGGAATCAGTCAATAAAGGCTAACTTTTCCGTTATTGGCTGTGTTGGAGCTGGGGTGGCTTTAGTGTTTTTGATGTGTGAAAGTGAAAAGGTTGACAGGTCTTTTAGGACTACCAGCACTGACGGGAGTTTCACTCTCAAGTAAAAGGCAGTGTTCATAATCGAGGGGAAACTCAGGTAAAGCTTTAGATAGATACCATAATGCTAAAAATCTTAACGCCAGTAGTAGAAACACAGGTTTTAGGTATCCTGTAATAACACCTGAGGTTTCCATTCCAAATACTGATCCAATTTCATAAGAAGGATTCCCACCTAAGATAACCTGTGCTCTAATAATCACAAATTCCACTTTTACATTATGTTGGGAACTCTGTGGAACCCTCACAGGGACCCCTGGAGATACAGACAACATACTAAACCTTTAACAAGAGTCAAGAAACTACTTCCTTTCTTCCTTGCTACAGTTAAAATATGGTGAGTGTGTGTGTGTGTG